GTTGATCCAATGAATCCCTCTGCCTTCTGGATCCCCACCCCACCAAAATGTGCTAATATATGCCTTCAACCGTGTACAAATCCATTTTGGAAAAGCGAAACATGCCATAGCGTATGATGGGATTGCTTGTACTACTGCTTTGATCAAAATCTCTTTCCCCACTTGTGATAACAATTTTGACTTCCATCCTTGTAACTTGGAGAGAACTTTTTCTATTATGAATTGAAAAGCTTCCGCTTTTGACCGACCCCAGAATGAGGGTAAACCCAAATATTTGGCATTAGCAGGGGTAGTTTTGAGACCCGAGAAGGCACAGATTGAGTTGCACACCTGTAGCTGAACATTTGTGGAGAATTGCACACTTGATTTGTCAAAGTTGACTTGTTGACCAGATGCCCTGCAGTAAATGTCCAGAACCTCCAACACAGATTTACATTCCTGAGTATTAGCCTTAAGAAAGAGAAGCACATCGTCCGCAAAAAATAAATGCGAAAGAGTTGGGCAGTGCCTTGTAATTTTCATCCCCGAGATCTGATTTTGAGTGAGACTCTGGTTGAGGAGTTTTGATAGAACATCCGCCACTAAAATAAAAAGATATGGGGAGAGGGGATCACCCTGTCGGAGCTCTCGGGAAGGCATAAAAGAGGCTCTTTTTTCACCATTAGCAAAAATAGAGAAGCTGACAGTAGTAACACATTCCATTACCCAATTAACCCATTTAGAGTGGAACCCCAACTTTTGCAGAACAGCAGCTAAAAAGTCCCATTCGATCCGACCATAGGCCTTGTTGAAGTCGAGTTTGATAGCCATATTACCAACAGCCCCTGATTTTTTTAATTTGAGAGCATGGAACGCTTCATGGGCCACAATTACATTGTCTTGAATCATTCGCCCCGGAACAAAAGCTGATTGGTTTGGAGAGATAAGGTGTTTCAGGATTGGCTTCAGACGATTGGCAAGGATCTTTGTAATGATTTTCAGGTTGAAATTACATAAGCTGATGAGGCGAAATTGGGATAACAACATCGGATTGCAAACCTTGGGAATCAAAATCAGATTGGTGTGATTGAGTTCTTTGAGCAGATATCCTCCCAGAAAAAAACTTTGCACAGCTTCACAGACCTTTACTCCCACTTCATCCCAATAAGTCTGATAGAAAAACCCTGGAAAGCCATCCGGCCCCGGAGACTTCACTGCCCCTAATTGGAATACTGCTGCCTTGATCTCTTCATCACTGATCGGTTGAATTAAGCTCCTATTCATAACATCGGAGACCATAGGCTCCACAACAGATAAGGCCTCCATTAAGTTTCTGTTTCCAACACTTGTGAATAAAGAAGAGAAGAAACTCAAGAGATGGTGATTAATATCCGATTCCGAGTTTATCCACGTCCCATCCTTTGTTTGTAAGCGAAGAATCTGGTTTCGTTGGCGACGTTGGATCATCGAGGCATGAAAAAACAAAGAGTTCTTGTCTCCATAATTTAGCCATCAAAATCAGATTGGTGTGATTGAGTTCTTTGAGCAGATATCCTCCCAGAAAAAAACTTTGCACAGCTTCACAGACCTTTACTCCCACTTCATCCCAATAAGTCTGATAGAAAAACCCTGGAAAGCCATCCGGCCCCGGAGACTTCACTGCCCCTAATTGGAATACTGCTGCCTTGATCTCTTCATCACTGACCGGTTGAATTAAGCTCCTATTCATAACATCGGAGACCATAGGCTCCACCACAGATAAGGCCTCCATTAAGTTTCTGTTTCCAACACTTGTGAATAAAGAAGAGAAGAAACTCAAGAGATGGTGATTAATATCCGATTCCGAGTTTATCCACGTCCCATCCTCTGTTTGTAAGCGAAGAATCTGGTTTCGTTGGCGACGTTGGATCATCGAGGCATGAAAAAACGAAGAGTTCTTGTCTCCATAATGTAGCCATCGGATACGGGATCTTTGATGAAGAAACATTTCCTCCTTAGAAAGAGTTGTCTGAAGATTAGAGGTCAATTGGTCTTGAGCCTGCATATTAGCCTCTGTCCAGGGTTAGGACTGAAGAGACAAAAGCTTAGATTTTATAAGAGTAATGTTCAAGCTATTGTTTCCGAAATGTTCTTTACTCCACCTTCTAAGCCCATCTTTACAGCACTGAAGTTTCTTTACTAATTGGAACATAGGAGATCCAGCCTGACTGACAGCCCATTTGGAGCGGATAACCTCCACACAATCAGAACTCGTTGACCACATGGTTTCAAATTTAAAGAGCCGAGGCACCCGTTTGAGAGGTACGCAGCAATTTAACACCACAGGACAATGATCTGACCCAACAAGAAGTTCATGGAATACCTAGGCACAAGGAAATAGAGCTCGCCAATCCATAGATGCAACTGCTCTGTCTAACCTTTCACGTATATTAGCATCTCCACGTTGGTTATTTGACCAGGTAAAGGAAAGGCCATTAAATTCCAAATCCATGAGAGCACAATCAGATAATAAAGCTTGAAAGGATTGTAGCTGACTCATCCTGCATTCTGCACCTCCAAATTTTTCCTCCAGAAGCCCAATTTCATTGAAGTCCCCAATACATAACCATGGATATAGATTTTCAGAAGCAATTTTCCGAAACTAATCCCAGAAAACCCGACGAACTGATCGTTGAAGAGGAGCATAAACAAAACGAAGCAGCCCAACAACTGGGATTACTATTGGAGGTTATTACTCCTCTGATCATATACTGTGACTTGTAACGAATATCCATCTGAATTTCATCCGTCCACCATAGGGCCAGACCCCCTGAGGCACCTTCAGGATCAACATAGCATTTTTGAATAAAAGAGAGACGTCTGCGGAATGTTTAGGGTCATGAAATTAAAGACAAATTTTAGTAACGAATAAGAAAAACAAAAAAAAGAAAAAAAAAATTATGCCAAAATTTATAGCAACCTGCATTAGTAGCATTTTTCACATGATAATTTTTAACTTAATTTGTCAAGTTTGTAGGACAAATAGGAGATGGAGCATTAACATACTACTATAATTATTACTCATTGAATTCGTATCTGGCATTAGGTTGGGTAATTCTTCAAAATCTTCTTTTTTTGCCTCAAAATCTTATAACGACCTTGTTTAAATTAATAAAAAATAAATAAAAATCTCTCTATTTTGTCTCACTATTTTTCCTTTGTTTTTCTAATTCTCATTTCCATTTCTTTTTTTGAATGACACCACCACTCCCTAACGAATGATCAAACCCACTACCAACCAGGACATAACCTCTTCCCTTCTCACTTGTTTATCTCACTTGGGTTATTCACTTGACGTTCTTTTATCTCACTTGATTAGTTTCAGTTATTAGCTTCTCTCCTCTCACTATTTTTGTTTCACTCTTTTTACTTGGACATCCTTATATGTAGTTAGTTGGTGAACAGTGAAAGTTAATTCTAACCGTACATTTTTGATAGATCTTATAACAACAATGATTCATGCCACTAAAAAAAAGGCTACTAATAATATTAATACATTGGGAATGTCAAAAAAAAAAACAAAACAAAACAAAACAAGGCACGCTCACTGCCACATCACCACTTTTAGTGCTTTCAACCATTTTTTGATCTTATAATGGAGATTTATTTTTTAAGAAAGGAATAGGATAATATCTAGAATGATGGAAATATGTAGAATGAGAGAGGCCTAGAAGATTCAAGAAATGGAGAGTAATGGGTTAATTCACAACAAGATTGTAAAATATATAAATATATATATATATATATTGTAAATTACATTGACCTCTCATTCCATTTGAAAAAAGGCTCACATAGGAGTGTTTTAGAAAGTTGGTAAAAAGTCGACTTTTTGACTTTTTTTAATTCTATTTTGTCTTTTTATAGATAAAAAATGTGAGAGATGATATGACCAAAAATGAGTAAAAAGTTAAAAATTGAGTAAAAAACTACTTCCCAAAAAACCCCATAATCACATAATTTTGATATAACTAAACCATCCACCCTTAGATTTTAGTTTCATGTAACAAATTGGTCCAGATCATTAGACAACCATTAATATTAGAATAATTCACTAAAAAAAAAAATTTTTTGAATTCAAATTGAGAAAATTGTTTTTAAAAATTTCAAACCAAACATATTATAGACATTTAATTTCAATGGTAAATTATTCTCACCTCCCTTAAAGTTTTAAAATATTATATTTTTAACATAATTATTTGGATCTTTCCTTATTGGATGGTTAGCTCTGTGTCAGATGTAATGGCCAAGTTATGTTTAAAGACGATCGTCGGATCTTACCTGATTGGACGATCGTTTTTCTATCAAAGATCTTTTTGATAATGGCCAACTTATTTTAGTCCCTAGCCATTAGATCTATGCTGATCGGATGGTTATTATTATGTTAGTGGTCAAGTTGAACTTTGGTCTTTTTTTTCTGATATGCCATGGATCTGGTCAACTTTTTATTTTCCTTAGGTTTACCTAACTTACTTATATCCCTATTAGACTGGGTTTGGATTTTCATCTAACACAATGTGGGTATTTAGGAGAGTGTGTTTTTATATAAGTTTTTTTAGTTATAAAATATTATTAGATAAATTTTTTTTAGTGTTTAGGAAGATAATTAAATTTTTTTATAGTTCAATGTGATATTTGTAAGAGAAAAAGTGAAATGATTATGAGATTATATGTGATATTTTATTTGAATTTATTTTTTTTTAATTTTACAAAAAGTTTGTATTTTAGTGTTAAAAAAAAAAAAAAAAAACCTAACATACAAACTTCCCAAACAGCACCAATATCTATCTACTATTTGTATTAACTTTGATCGCTTTGACACTATTAGAAGAAAAATTAATATAATTATATAAAAAATATGAAATTAATTATATATATTTTTTAATTTTCGAGTGTAATGTATCCTAATTTCAATAAATAGATTGCCACCATCCTGCCACGACGTCGTTATATGTGTTACACATATCTCATTTTGAGACGTCTCTGAGGCAATGATCAAAACAGTCCAAGTTTCGCGACATCACGACGACGTTTTCTGCCAAGCACTCAGTTCATAAGCTCCTCTTCTCTCTCTTTCCCATCTTCCTCATTCAATTCCTCTCTTAAAACCCTAATTACTTCTGCAAAATCATATCTTGTAATCTAGGGTTCAGCTTTTAGGGTTTATTATATATCTATCTATCTCTCCTCTCTCTCTCTCTCTGTGTTGAAATGTTGATTGATTTTTCGATGAAATGATGAAGCAAGAGACCACCAATACTCCGATCCCAACCCCCACAGCCCCCGTGTGCGGCAACTGCGGGGTGGAGGAGTGGCGGCTCCTCCTCCACGTCCGCCACCGCGCCACCCTCCGGCGCCTCTGCACTTCTTGTGTTCTCCGCCTCCACCCTCAGTCCTTCTGCCCCACCTGCTTCCTCGTCTTCGATCGCCAACCCCCCTCCAATGACACTGTCACCTGCTTCAAATGCTACTCTTATTCTCACTCTCGCTGCGTTCCCCCCAATTCCCCCAAACCCTACATTTGCCCTCCCTGCTCCAACCCTAACGCTCCCATCTTCCTCGCCAAGAAGGTCAAGGCCGAAGATCCCCCAGATGGGGATGGAGATGGCTTTTGGAGAGAGATTGATAAGAAATCGGCCAAAGTGCTTCTTGCTGCTGCTAGGATTGCCGCCAATTCGATGGGTAAAGCTGCGCTGGCTGCTAAGGTCGAGGCGGAGAAGCGGGCCAAAGAGGCGTCCTTTGCGAGGAAGAAAGCGAGGGAAGCGTTGGAGCACGTTGCGTTTCTTGTGGCGAAAGAGAAGTTGAAGCGTAAGGATTTGATGTCGGCGGAGGTTTCTGGGTCTGGTAATGTGGTTGCTCAGGAGAGGAATCAGAAAACTGGTACTAGTGTTAATAGTGTTGGTATTGGGAATGCAGTCGTGGTTGCAGAGCAAAACCGGATTGGTAATCAGCGTGCGCGTGTGGGTGCGGGTGGGGTGGATGGAGTGGATGGTCCGAATGAGGTTTCGGCGCGTTTGAATGCTGTGGGATTAAGAGAGGAGAGGTTGCAAGTATTTGGGGGACGCAGTGTAGTGTCAGGACCACAGAATAATGGTGGAGTAATGGCTGTGGATGGTAACGAAAGACCGAGAGTGAATTCGGGTTCTAATGTGGGAGGCGCGTTCATTCAGAATAAGGAAAATGAGAGGTCTGGTTATTTGGGTCACTCAGAGAACAATAATGCACAGGGGGAGAAAGCAGACATTGGGTTGTATTCGGTTCCTCCTGTGGGAGATGAGCTGCAGCATATGCAAAACAACCATGGTATGGAAGAGAACATTGGCTCTCAACAATAATTTATGGTGACTTGGGAATTATGGGCAACATGATAAACCCAAGGTGGAAAATTTAACTATGGTGGTGTTTTTGATAGATTAAAATTATATTGTTTTATTAATTATATATCATTGTTTGAATTGCAGGTGTATAAAGTTTGCGACGCTAGTTCTAGGGTTACTCTCATGGGATTGTGAGCAAAATGAGATACCTTCTGAGAGTTGTATCTGCCGGACCCAGTGATATTTTCTTGGTACATACCATTTGTCATTCTAGTTTGATGTCTAGGGTTATGTAGAGGTGTTAAGAAAATTTTATGTGATTTGTCTTAATTGCAATAGTCAAATTTGATATTCTGTTTTCTGCAGTACCTTTCCTAAATTTCTTTGTTTTCTCCTTTTCTCTTGGTTTTCTGCATCCCTCTTTTCATCTTAAACCTCAGTAATTTGTTTAGAAGATGGGTATTGTGTTTCTGTCGAATCAGTAAAAGGCAGTTGCTTTTGATAAATGATCCATATGTAAGCTAGAATGAATTTTGAAGCAGAAAAAACTTGAACAGTGCTATTAGGAAGCTGATAACATTTCAGCCATGCATGTCCATTGCTTGATTAGAGAAAATATATCCTCCTTTGCAGCTAAAAAAAACTATGTTTTGGACCTCACACCACTCATTCACTCAAGAAGGCTTTTTGGTATATAGAAAATGTTCATAGTAGTTGCTTTAATCATTAGCTCATCATTTGAGTTTGGCATGATAGGTTAATTTGGTAGTTCTATAAGATTTGGAATGTGTAGGCTGAAGATTTGTGGGTGCTTGTAATAAGTCTGCTAATTTTCATTCTTGTTAAGGAATTGATCAAGTCATTTCTAGAATTTAGAATATCTTTTTTGCTGAAATTATCTCATTTTGGTGGGTTCTATCTTTTGCGTTTCTATTTTCTAAATTTTTTTAGTGCATTGTTAGTTTGAATGCAACTAAGATATATAGCTACATTTTCTTAGAAACACTATGCTTTTCATAACATTAAGTCCTGTTCAGTCTTGCTTTTGGGTTTTCCCCCCCTTGTGTAGCAAGTTTTCAAGGGTATAGGAACGGAGTATAGTACCAGAGAGAAATCAATGGGTTGATATTGATTATGGAACTTTGGTTTGCTGCTTTGCTCTATTTTTTATCTTCTATTTTTTCTCCTTGTACGTCTTCGTATTGGTGTCTAGAAATTCCAAAATGGTATTTTGGGAAATTATTAATAATTTTAAAATACAAAACACAATTTGTTCCAACCCTAAGCTTTAAAAAGTCTTAAGCACCAAGAACCATAAGCTGCAGCTGGCTTTAGCCCACCAAAGAAGCAATTGTAGGCATTGTTATTCAGAACATATGATAAAATTACCTGCTCAAACTTAATAAAGCATTGGAACTCTTGAAAATGCAAATTTTAGCAAATTCATGATGCTATTTTAATATTGTTTCTCAAACTTGTTAAGCATTCCTCTAAACTTTTATGTAGTTAATTAAAAAGGGTTGCAGGTATTGAAAATTCAAACTCAAGGAAACTTCACCCAGTGTTGTTTGTGAGTCTTATTTTATGTAAAGTTCTTCATGGACTAATATAGGATGAAATTGTAATTGATTAGAAGAAATGTCCTGAAAAATAGGTGAAGGGATCTAGAAGGTGGCTTAGCTTTTGATTGGTGGAAGTGGAGAGAAGTAGAAAATTGATGAGGCTATGCCATGGAGAATATCCCTTTGGTTCAATACAACCGCCTTTTGATATTTTTAAGAAGTGTAATCATTCCCAATGCCTGGCGTTGATTACATTTTTTTAAAATATGTGGTTGTTTAGTCTGTTTGAGTTCATCGATAAACACTTTGAGACACTAGTGTTCACAGCATAGGCTTAGAGTGAATTGTGAGATCAATTGAGCTACGTAGGAGGCAATATGGTTTGTGTAGGTACGATTGTTGAGGCCTGCCACAACGTTGCCATTATATTCTCTCCATAAGAAAGGTACCACTTTTCACCCCAATTGTAGGCTTCAAATCCCTCCCGGCAAGGATGAGTTGCTCCAAGTCAAAGCAAGTGCACATGAAGCCCATTGCCTCAGTAGACTTCCACGATACTAAGTAGCTCCAATTCACTTTGGCATTGTTGTTTCAACTTGAATAATGTTAACCATAAATTTTAAGTCTAGTTTCAATTTAGTCATTCCATTTAAATTACTCTTAATTTTTTCTACATGTACACCTCATGTAAGTGACTCATGTCAATGGTAACTTGGATGGAAGGTCCAAATTGAGACTGGATTTAAAGACACGGGTAAACATTGTTCAAAGTGTAACAATAAGGATTCATATGAAATTTGAGTCAAACTGTTGGGGTGAAAAGTGTAATATACTCCCAAAAGATCTACATTTGTTGAATTAGTTATTTTCTGGATTGCTTCATACTTAATAGGTCCCTTGAACATTACAAAGTGCGCACAAGATCCCAGTAATTAGCCTATTTGTACTTTGGATCTAAATAATTACCAACTCGTGCCTTCTCAAATTTGGAGCTTTAATTTCTTTAAATTGTTCCTTTGCCGTAGCCTGTAATTGTTTGAACAGATAATACTTTTTTTAAGAACATATAATTGTGATGGACCTTTTCCTAGATATCCATTTTTATTGTTGAATTTAATTCTTTTAAATAAATGTTTAGCCTAACATGCTTAAAGCTATTGACTTTGCAAAATTTGTGAGTAATTTTATCAATATTCCGAACTAACTTTTCATCCTATATTTGTGTTGGTAATTATCTTTGGTTATGCCCGTGCATCATGTTGGATTTCCCTTAGCATTTGCATTTGTATTTAACTGCTTAATTACTTCCTAGAAAGTTTCTGCCCACTTACTCACCCTGTGGAGTGTGGACATATTTTGGAGAGGGGATCTTCGCCTCATTTTTTTTTTTGCTCATTCATCAGCAGCTCATTATTCCGTGTGCACGTGCATCTCTGTCTATGAACACTTCAAATTAGTTCCTCGAAAAGTTTCTTCCAAATTTTTTTCTTGTTTACTTGCTTTTTTTCTTCTTTTTCCTTTAGGTTTTGCCCTTCATCTAAATACATATAATGATGAGCACTCAAGTATGATTCAAATGGCTATTGGTGCAATATGTGGAGGATCATGATGGAATTATCATCTATGGAGACATTAGATTTATAGATTATTAAGTTAAACACCTTTTTCAGCACCTGTATTATGAAGCAAAGGAAACTTTCAGCATAACTGCATTCTTGAAAAACAAATTTAAAATAATCTGTTGTGAGAAAAAATATGAAGTTGCCAGAGCACTTCATAAATTTGATGTACTGCTTTGGAGTCGCACATTCTTTTCCAGATTATGCTCCACAACTTTCAAGCTTTTCTTCAACGTGTCTACTGTGCATCTACCTTCAACTTCATTGAAAATGTTGTTTTTCAATGGCGAAAACATCTATTACCAGTTGTTTTGTTTTTTAACTTTGTTTCTGCTTCTGCAAGTATTCCCCGCTAGAGTTCGTCTCTGTTTTTCGAGGGACTTTTCTCCTTCGAGAAAAATTCTCCCCATTCTACGATATCGCCCTCTTTCTGTATATACTGTCGACTTGTTGTTGAAGAATGGAGTTTTTCCATATTTGGATGATAAATCCTCCCGTTCATTCCAGTGAGATCGAAAAATTGCAGGTTGGAGGTTTGGATCTTCTTCGTGCATTGAACCATGGCATGAAGGTGAGGGTTTCCATCTTCGTGGAGCTCTCTTGCGACAAGTATGTAGTATGGCTGGCATGCTAGTTGGAGAAGAGATTGGAGAAGTTCCAAGAGTTGTTCTTTCAGACAAGAGCATTGTGGGTAGGTGAGGAAAACATTCTTGGCGTAGAAATGGAAAGAGGCTTGGTGAGGTATTTTGTAGTGGTAAACAGTGAACTCACACCAGCTGTACACGGCCTTCCTATTAGTTAAAAAAACCTAGTGTGAATGGTATGAGTGGTGTGATTGGGGGGGCATTGTATTAATATTACCAATGCCCTCTCTCTCGCTGATCTGGGTCGTCCATTGTTATACTTATGGACACGTGTATGGATGAGTTTAAAAGGAAGGCACACCCGGGCCCAGGTGTGAGTGGTGTGAATACTTCTGATTCCTTTGCCAAATAGTGTTATACACGTGTCGTGTTTCATAGTTTGCGTGGTTGTAAAGTAAATATTCTTACAGAATGATAAACATAAAGCAAAGGCGGGAAAATAAATGTGTTTAAATTATTTTGAATGGGGAATCTTCATACTTAATCACGGGATAGTTTTGCTATTTATTTGGTACCAGAACACATTTGATGGTATAGAGGAATATGCTTTTGCAGTGGGATAGCTATTGTTCTGAAGTTGTTTTATGGTACCTTGTTTCGTCCATCTTTTTCAGTATTTTTTTTTTGTTGATTGTTTTGGTATACAATGTTGTACTCCTTGGAAGAGTATCCTGAGATACGGGCAGTTCACTCAAATGTATGTAGATCGTTTTTTGACGTGACAAATAGAACTGTGGGAAGAGAGGCGGTGGTCAGTTTCGGCGAAGTTTGTTAGTGGGTACGAGGAGCAGAGGGAAAAAATATTAAAGCTAAGGTGTCTGAACAGAAGAGTTAGCAGAGGTAAAAGGATCTGCAGAATTTGTAAGATAAAAGATTTGGAGTGTTTTATGAAAAATGGAATGAGTAATGAGCAGCCAGTATCGGACTCTCCTTGCGTATCGCCGGTCAAGGACACCTGTGGCCAATGGATATAAGTGTAGCTACCGTGGTTGTGCATCTTTTAAGGCAGCGTATATTCGCAGACGGTATGTTCAGAATATTCCCCGATATGTTAAGAAGACTAAGAGGGAAGTAAGGAAGTTATAACTGTACGATGAACAATTAAGGAATGTTAAATTTGATAATAATGGTGTGGCGAAATTGCTTAATGGTATTGAGTTGGGTAATAAGAGATGTGACTGTCAATCAGACAAGATTGTGGCTAAAGGTATAAAATTAATTGAGAATGGTCAATTGGGACAAGATGCTAAAGATGAAGTCGTGGTCCACCATATATTGTTTTTCGTCATAAGTGACAATAGTCCGTCAGATTCCGTCCCCACACCTGACAAAATATTTATTGGAGTTGGCGAGGGTAATCGTAAGACTTGGATTGTTAATCCTGACCAGTCCGACCGGTTTCAGATGCTAAAGAAAATTAGATTCAAGTTTGTTGGTGGCGAGAACAAAGAGTACGTTTGTTACGGGATAGAAGTTATGGATCAGTTTTTCCCAGTTGATGTTTGGGCGGACTACAAAGATACATTGTTGGGAAATGTTTGAAGTATTCAGAAGGGTGCCATGTATTTAGTGC